ATCCTGGAGGTCTGGCTCAGCTGGCCCCACCAGCCACCGAGACCAGCCCCGGCGTCCTGAGCGCCCGCCTCGGGCCCGTGGGTCTCTGGGCAGCTCTCAGCTCCCAGGAGGGTGCGGCTGAGCTGGTCGCCCCAGCGCAGCACCTGCTGGAAGGTTTGCTGCAGGGCAGCCCCCACCTGCGGAGCAGGGACCAGCCCACGCGCAGCTGCTTGGGACCAGGACCTTGTGCTGCCCTCTGCACCCGCTGCCCTCCCCAGAGTACCGGGGGGGATCTCCTCTTCCAGGCTTGCCCCCACAGCACAGCTTTGGCCCTCCGAAGGAGGCAGCAGAGCCCCCCGAGCCTGAGCAGAGCGATGGGCAGGAGACAGGGGTGACTCCAGCCGACGGGACAAGGGTCTTACATCCATGGAGAGGTGGTGGTGTTCAAAGAGCAGGTCGAGGTGGAAAGTCAGCACGGAGAGTGGCTGGATGAGCAGCAGCAGTTCGTCAGCAAGGTGAGGAAGAGGGCCTTGGCTCAGGGCGAAGAAGGCCGTGGGTGAATAAAGCACGGAGATCACACCTACGAGATACGGACGGCGCTGGACACATGCAGAATGCCCTGCCCTTGCCCACACTCTCCTCCCAGGGCCAGCTGGGCTGTCCTAGCGGGTCAGATGAGCCTCTGCTGAGAGTTTTATCGAAGGTGCACCATGAAAAATGATGCCCTTATCCACTATGGAAATCCCAGCCAAGCAGCGTGGGTGGAACGGGTATGGGATTATCTCCTTGGCAAGTAGGGGACAACTTGGGTGGAGAGCTTTTGGGCACCGTGTCCTTACCTGGGCTCTTCTGCAGGTGAGAGATCCACAGCTCCAGCTGCTTAATGCTAAACAAGACATAGGGAACCCAAGTTAGAGCTCTTGGAGACTCTGTTCCAACCTGCCATCACAGCACAGACAGCCCGGCCCAGCAGGGCCAACACTCACTTCAAAAGGCCGAGGATAAAGGCATGAAACTTCTGTCTGGTGCTGTGAAGAGGGGCCAGCCCGGCCACGTGCCAGCACAGCGAGTGGAAAGCACGGGCATTGGGGCCTGTGGAACACACGGCGCAGACAGTCACTGCTCTGGGCACATACCCTCCCCCAGCCCAGGCTGGAAAAGGACTCCAGGCACCTTGAGATGCTGATCCCAACATCTCCAGGAGCATGTTCCCTCCCACCAACCTGTCTTCACGGAGGCTTCCACCACGCTCCAGGGGGAATTCTTCCTCTGGCCTGTGATAACATCCTTCTGGAATGGCTTCAGCCCATCCTCCACCAGGGCATAGAGCGCAGGGCAGAGGGTGTGCAGCAGCAGGTACCCCACGTCCGGGCTGAGCCGGCTGTCTCCCAGCTGGGCCTGGAGTAGGGAGGCACAAGGAAAGGAGAGGGAGGGGAACAGCAGCACCTAACCCTGAGCGTGCATGGAGGGATGGTGGGATTCTCCCCCTGGAGCTCCCAAATCCCCTCCTGCCCTCACCCCTGCCCACCCCAGCCCCGTCAGAGCCTCGGCCCAACCTCTCACCTTCTGCACCAGGTTCCGCGCGGCGCTGAAGTGGGCGATAACCTTATCCACAGCGGTGCTGATGGCGATCAGCAGGGCTGCCGGACAACGGAAAGGAAGACATCAACATGGCACCGGAGATCCAACG